GGAGAAAAATAAAATGTTCTTTACAATAAGGTGAGCACAGTGATTCCTGACTACCACATACGCTAAGGAACTACTCAAACTACAGATTTATAGATCCAAATTGCTCCAAATTCTTAAACTGAGGACTGCTGGGTGGCGATTTTTAAAATATAAAGCTTTGCAACACATTTGTGTTATAAATGGGATTTAACCTGCATGTGCTTCAAACAATGTCCAAGGTGAATGCTGCTTCTAAAACCCTAAATGAGGAGGAAGGGTTTAAGACAAAAAGGGAAACTGGGTCCTCCAGCTGTCTTTCAGAAAGGAATTAGAAATTTTATTTAATCCCAAACAAATTCAAATTTGGGATTCCTCAGTAAAAATACAGAAGCTCATGGTGAAGCAGTTCAGAGACAATCTCTTCAAATTTCACTTTTTGAATTTAGTCTGTTTCTGCAGGGCGATATGTTCCACAACTCCCAGATAATGAATGTTACCACAATCTCAAAGCTGGATTCCAATACAGCGTAACTACAAGTTACACTGCTTTGTGGAATGGAAAATGCTTCCCCGGGGCTGTTGGGCTGAGCCCCTCCAGTCAGAGTGGGAAATTTCCCTCTGGATTTTTGGTGAAACCACATCCCCACTTTCCTGAGTGATGGTTTTTGATGAAACCCCAGAGTGAGATCATTAGTGAGGACGTCTGCATTAGGATCCAAAATTGCATAAACCCTGATTATGATGTGGTAGAAAACAAGCACAATGGCAAAAAGACAGAAGCTGGCCAAGAAGGAAAGCTGTGGTGCCAGCCATTTCATTCCATGGTGAGACTATGCCTGATTTTCTTCTTTATCTTCTACACTTTCCAGAATATTGTTACTTTTTAAGTATCAATTTTAGAAAATCAGTGCATCATCTACGAATAAATAGTCTCACTTGGATTCAAGGTTAAGGCTAGTCAACTCAGCTTGACACCTGTGGCTCAAGTGGCTAAGGCGCTAGCCACATACACCTAAGGTGGTGGGTTCGAATCCAGCCCAGGCCC